GAACAAACCCCTCTTTACAGATAAGAGAGGCAGTTTGCAAAAACTAAACAAGGCCATCTTTATCAGCATGATGATGGTCTTTCCCTACTATGAATCACCACACATAAAACCAAAAAACAAAAAGCTCTATTGAGACGCAACAAGTTTTGCCATTTCTCCTGCTGCTTCCCTCTTCTTTGCTCGCATCTTCCTCCTCCTTAACCGCACCGTAAATTAACAACACGATATTTCGAGCCGCCTGTCGTGCTTCAGGGAGTCTATCTTTCAACAATTCAGATGACATTTTTACTAACGAAACCAATCTGTAGTCTCTCATCTCTTCCACTTCCTAAAATTCATATCACAAGTTAGATTAAATCAAACTAAACTGACTTCTACCCCAAAAACAGAGCAATTATTTATGTGAAACAACAAAACAATACACCAAAATGAGATATTGAAATAGCAGCTTGGCTCTAACTCTCATGTTTCCATGGCTGACATATCCTTTGAGCTTCTGAAGCATAGGGATGGGAGTTACGGACACCACCATGAACTTGTTAAAAAATCATCAGGCATCATGTCATTCTGGTTATTTCCATGGAGAATCTATATCAAATATAACTCATGATATGCAATCAAAATGTTTCCAACACATGATATGTTTCCACCATACAACTTTTCATTTGCTTTCACCTAATCTACTACTTTCCTTCAAGAGATAACAACCAAACTGTATGGAAAATGGGACTGGTGTGGAAGAAGCAACCGAGGAAGATGAATTACAACTAATATGAAATAAATCACTAGTATTATTTTAACTTAATTTTGCATTTCATAGTTGTGGGTTTTTACTCGATGATGAAATTAATAATGAATATCATCCCCACATATTTATACTATATTATAAAATATTTAACAAAAACTTTTAAAATCCATGATTTGGTGGGATCGTCGAAAATGGGACAGAGAGGAAAGTGAAGGTGAAGGTGCTGATGGTGGTGTTACTGGTAGGGGTTTTTTCACGGTGGTGGTGGTGGTGAACAGAATCGCTCTGGTGGCAGTGTTGATTTGTTGATGGAGAAAATAGTTGATTTAGGGTTTCAAGATCCATCGCGAAAAGAGATAAGATTTGTAAATGGATTACTTTTTATTTTTTAAACATTTTTCTAAATAGTATATTACATTAGTTTATTTATTCTTAAAGGAAAAATAAAGAGCTTAAGTAAAAGACCAAAATGCCCCTTATATGTGGGGCACATGGCATGCCTAACGGTAACTATTCCAACGACATCTGTGGAAGAGACAAGTTTAGGATAAAAAAAAACACAATTTTTCGACCAAAAATATACACTCTTTCTATAAATTTTAATATTAATTAACAGTTCCAAATTCCAATTCATGAATATAGTACTATAAAAACATAGAAATAATATGCGACTGTTTACTAATTTAACAAAGGTATTTTAAAGTAGATAAGTACGACAAGCGTATATAATTTAGTTTTCTATCAACAATCTGGGGGAAGTATGATAGAAAACATGACATGTCAAACATTTACTCGTATAAATAATTTCGTATTAAAATGTTGTTTTAGTTGATTTCAAACGTATGTTTATTTAATTTTGATTAGGTATTATACATAAAATAAAAACAAATTATTGAGTAATTTTTTTGAAAAAAATAATGATAAAAAAACGCATTATTAAGGGGGTGTTTGAGATTGTTTATTTAAAACAACTTATGTTTTTTTACAAAAACACTTATAATCAGAAGAGTTTAACTTCTTCAAAAACTTTTTATTATCGATTTAACACCGATATAAGTTGTTTATCCAAATACTTAAAAATGCTTATTACATATACCACATTGAAATAAATCAATAAATTATTTTTACAAACAATTTTAAACAACCCTAAGGATAAAAAATGAAAATAGTCATCGGCCTTATCCAAAATAAATGCATACATCAAAAGTGTCGTGGGAAAATAATAAAAATTAAAATATTTAATTATATAAAATATAAATATTTTTTTGAAAAACTACATTTAAAAAATGGTTTCATATTATTGAATATGAACTAAACATTTTTCGAGTTGTAGGTGTCTTTTAAAAATAAAAATTTCATAATAAATAATTAAAAATTCATGTTAAAATTACCTATATATTAAAAATAGCTTATTTAACTAGGGATTGTGATTTGTCTCGACCCAGTAGGAAACCCGATTCACCCGACCTGAACGGTAGAATCAAACTAAGGGATATTCTTCATGGGTTTAACTGGGGATTTACCGGAGATTGATAGAGGTTTGACCGGGGACGAGATATTAATCCCCGTACCCGCTGGGTATCGGGGCCGGGGGATGTTACTACAAACCGGGGCCGGGGATTACAAAATCCGCCCCATCCCCGCCCTGTTGCCATGCCTATATTTAACAATAACATAAGCTTTCTTAGCACATGTTTAGTTTTCATAAAAATGCGAAAACAACAACTTTTTGTCAACTTATATGAAATAAAAAAACGATTTTATTATCTTAAAATAGACGATTAAGATTGCTTAATGTATTGGGAAAAGTACAATAAAAACCAATGGACTTTTTTGTTTGGAATGATTAAGTCCTTAGACTTTTTTTTTGAACAAATAAGTCCTTGGACATTTCAAAACATGTTAAATAAGTCATTGGACAATTTTTTGGAACAAATAAGTCCTTGGACATTCCAAAACATGTTAAATAAGTCATTGGACAATTTTTTGGAACAAATAAGTCCTTGGACATTCCAAAATATGTTAAATAAGTTCTTGGACAATTTTTGGAACAAATAAGTCCTTGGACATTCCAAAAAATGTTAAATAACTCCTTGGACAATTTTTGGAACAAATAAGTCCTTGGACATTCCAAAAAATGTTAAATAACTCCTTGGACAATTTTTGGAACAAATAAGTCATTGAACAATCCAAAAGATGTTAAATAACTTCTTGAACTTTTATAAAACATGTTGGATACATTCTTATGACTTGTACAACTAGTTAAAGTGGTAAAATAGTGAAAAAAATCCCGAAAAAAACTCAATGAACATTCATATTTTAAACGATTAAGCCCCTAAATATTTTTTGAACCAAAAATATTTAGATCCATAAAATTAAACAAATATAACAAAAAAGTACTTACATTAACAAAAAAATAATTACATTTACAAAAAAATAATTACATTTAAAAAAGATTTTTGATAAARTTTATTTTAATTAAAATTAAAATATATTTTGTCAATGATTTTTTAAACAAAAAAAAATAATTATTATTAAATTTATTTTAATTAAAAATATATATATCATGTATGTGATTTTTTAAATTAAAAAAAGATTTAAAAAGATTACTGGTGAAATTTATTTTAATTAAAAATAATATATTTTATAAATTTTTTTCAGTTTAAAAAATCACTGACAAAATATTTTTTCGGATTTTTTTCACTATTTTACCACTTTAACTAGTTGTACAAGTCATAAGAATGTATCCAACATGTTTTATAAAAGTTCAAGAAGTTATTTAATATGTTTTGGATTGTTCAATGACTTATTTGTTCCAAAAATTGTCCAAGGAGTTATTTAACATTTTTTGGAATGTCCAAGGACTTATTTGTTCCAAAAATTGTCCAAGGAGTTATTTAACATTTTTTGGAATGTCCAAGGACTTATTTGTTCCAAAAATTGTCCAAAGACTTATTTAACATATTTTGGAATGTCCAAGGACTTATTTGTTCCAAAAATTGTCCAAAGACTTATTTAACATGTTTTGGAATGTCCAAGAACTTATTTGTTCCAAAAAAAAAAATCCAATGACTTAATCATTTCAAACAAAAAAGTCCATTGATTTTTATTGTACTTTTCCCTAACGTATTTAGTATTTTGATAACAATATCTGAAAACCTTATGACAATGTCTGCCATTTCTATATTTTAATTGGTAATTTGAAATTATTTATTTAAAATAACACTTTCAATTTTAAAAAAGCAATATTTTAATAAATGGAATTTTGTTTTATGATATAAAGTCATTTTTTTTACAATCATATTGGACCGTCATAAATTATTTTTTGGCTGATGGTGAGTGTTTGTGCTAGCTGGTCAACTTCTACATACCTCAATTGATCTCATAAGGTCTTGGAAAACACACATAAAAATCTCTAATGGCATTGGAGGGACTCGGACTAGTGACCTATGAAAATGGAGCCCCAAAGGTCCAAACTTTTATCATCAATTGAGTTAACCCCTTAAAGTCAGCTTCATCGTTGAAAAGATTGAGGAGAATTCCACACACATTGTCAAGAATTTAGGCCATAGGTTTGGTGGTGGGAGTGAAAAGAAAAATTAGCGACACTGTATGTTTAGATATGTTTTGAGTTCTGGACGGGAGCCGAAAAGGAGAGAGTTTGATCAACTAAAGGAAAATAAGAAAAATTTGTTGGGAACTTGGTCTATCTATTACTAGATTAACGGAAAAAAGTAAAGAAAAACGAACCAATTAAGGCAAAACCCTATTATAATACTTTACAATTCCTTAATTTTAGTACGTTTTTTGGGTTTTGGAGACATAATGCAAAGTTGCAAAGAACGCTAGCATCAAAACACGCTACTGGTATTTGTTGCACCTACCATCTTGGATTTGGTGTAAATTGTTGAGATTGTTATACTTAGGGGTCGTTTACTTAACATTTACTTAGAAATTGCTTATCAGATAAATTTTTTTATCGGATGAAGATGAGAAGGAAGGGCCAAAAATCTTACCGGGTAAGAGCGATGAGAATGATGGAGAGTCTTACCCGGTAAGTGAGAATAATGACTGTTACCCAGATAAGTGCTTACCTAGTAAATTGTTGCATTTGATATGTTTTGATGTACTAAAATATTGTGCATCAAAATAAATCATAGTGTTAACTTTTATGTAACACTTACCCGGATAAGCGTTTGGTAAACGACACTTTAGGTTACTATTTGAATCATGTTAAGAGAAAAAAGCTTAATTTAAAAATAGAATTGATAAAATAAAATACTGTGATCCAAATTGAATGTCATGAGAAAGAAACAGCACAACAGTTAATTCTTTTTGTTACAAAGGAGGCCAGAATTCAGCCTTTTTCACCTTCGATATACTTTCCAACACAGCCACTGGTGACACGTGTCCCATCACTGTTACCCTCTTGCTTTCGAGATCTACGCTATACGACGTCACTCCTGTAATTAATTTTCAATTTTCAAGTAAAAGTAGAAACACAAGAAATTTATTTTTTAAGAGCAAATTGGTAATTTACATTATCAAATAATAATTTATAAAAATCAATTCCATATAAAAAAATGATTGCATTTAAATTTTGATTTTGATTTAATTTTTTAAACTTTAATTTATGAAGAAGAAGTAAGTAAGTAATATATTAAGTAGTACCTTCCATTTTGGATAAATGTTTCTTGACCTTACCAGCACACCCTTGACAGTGGATGGAGACCCTCATCACCACAACCTATCAACAACAACACACATTCTTTTTGTCACTCGACTACAACTCCTATCTTTTTTTTATAAACAAACCCATCTATATATATATATATATATATGACCAATGGTTTTTCATGAGACCCGTAAGATCAATTTATGTTCATTGATCAACTTTATAAACTAATGATCTAATGGTCTAAAGTTGTACGGTGACAATTTTGTGATTATTAAGAAATCTCATGGCAATTTTGTGATTACGAATGTTCATATTGTAGATCTAATCCAAGGGTTGAGAATTGGTCTTACGGGTCTCACGAAAAACCTTTAGTCTCACGTGAAAAAAATAACGTGGCAAGAAAGTAAATAATTCTGTTGTCGAACCGAATTACATAACAACCGTTAGGAAAATCTTCGATGAAGGGACCTGAACTAGTGACATTTGCTCCAAAACCTCGACCATTACTTATTGTATGTAAGCTAACCCCTCAAGTTGTTAAATTGTTAATGGGGATAACTTTAGGATCTGTCTTATTTTCGTTTGATCGACTTAATGACTTATCACTCAACTACTAAACAGTGTTTTCTTCGGTTTAATTTTATAAATTGTTGAGTATGATAAACCACCATGTATCTATGAGGCTATCTTATTTCAAAGTTAAGAAACAACCCCAAATGGGTCAACTAGAGAAGCCCAACTACGGATGCAAATGATTTTCGTTGTCAATGATTGAGAACCTAGAATAATAATAAACTCAATCGGTAAAACGGTATGACACCACCATCTGGAGTGCCCCAACTGTATTGGTCTCACGACCATCATGGTGAGGTAAACCACGTCCTATGGGCATGTGGGTCTGAACCCAAGACCTCTAATTCATTCCGGAAGAATACCTAACTCTCCTTAGATAATCTAAGTTGTGTTCTAGAATTTGTTGTGTTCTAGAATTAATCTAAGTTGGTGTATTAATTGTGTATAGGCTTTGATCTCACTTTAGAGCAACACCAAAATGAACCAACAAAACATACAAACAACATACCTGAAAGACTTGGTTGGCAGACGATGAGGGGAGGGCATTTTGGTCCAACTTCACACAATCATGACGATCCCGTCCCACAGAAGATGAAATGATGCTGTCACTGCCCGACGATGGTCTCCTACTCGCTGGAACAACAAAGCCACGACGCTCTGCAAGCCGAATGTATTTGGTGTTACTCAACAACCTTGCACGTTCTACCAAATTCCGGTCAGTTGACCTACGTGATAAAATCACGGACCGGCAATCGGGTGTCATGCAAGATGTTGTTAACTCAAGTGACTGACACATGAATCCCCTCATCTTCTTACTTGCTTTCTTGTTCATGGTTGAAACACACACACAACACAAAGACAACCTTGTGTGAGAAATGGTAAATATATACACAGAATTACCGGCATGTCAGTGTTACACCAGCCATATTTTAATTGAATGCAGCAAATGTTTATCTACCGGAAAGTGTCTACTTTCTTGAAAATTTATTGCATGCCTATATGGAATATCGATAATGATGTCAGTTTGGCCCAAGAAAGTGAACAGTTCAAATTCAAGAAGCCTGATCACCACACAAAATGTAAAGCAAGTTGGAGCATACGAGTAGGACGTTATACCCACATTGAAAATGAAAGAATTAAGAGCCTGGAAAGCTAAGCATTCCAAAGAAGACCTAAAATTTGATATATCAGAATGGAGAAAAGTTACAAGATAAAATACATATACAAGTAGCTAGGGTTTTACTGTACAATTGTCTGTTTAATTGAGTGGGTGCAAATTTAAAACTGGTGGTGGGAAGACAGTTACTGGAGATTAGAAGCATTAAAGAAAATAAGACAGTTAAGGTAAATAGATTCCTGACAGTACTACTGTTCCTGATTCTCTCAGGCTTTCACCTTTAATAGTACAATGAAGTTTGACCTATCTTTAAAATCCCCAATTATAACTGGTTTTTGTCTCTACGGGGCTGGACCTAGTGTCTGGGATCCCATGAATTGGTACTTGTTTCAGATCAGACTGAGTTGACTCGTTTTGTCTTACTCGTGTTGACTCAACTTGAACAGGAAAGCAGCCCTATAACCACAAGCTTCTGTTCCCAGGCAGGGCAACTATTATTGCATCCAGTGCAATTTTATAAACCGAGAAGAATGCCCAAGGAAGAAAATGGGACATATGGTAGCCTAATGGGCATTTTTCATCAAGTATGAGGTCATGTTTGTCTACAGGATGGTGGTCTCACTAGACCCAGGTGGCTACTCGCACTCGGTTACCCCTCCAGCCAGGGCTGGGATTCCATGCATAACTCGGGCCTCAGGTCCGGGGTTAGGAATAGAGATCGCCAAAATCGGACCCGGTTCCCGACCTAAATCTTAGGATTGATTCTAGGCCCGGTAACCGGCCCTGGTCTCATTGGGCTGGCCCCAAATCTTGTCCCAGGCATGGCCCGGTTTAAAAAAGATTTGAATCTTTTTTACAGAAAAATAGTATGCAACTATGCATTACGAATATTAAGATTTGGCATTGAAATACACTTTAAATAATACATTTACTTGAGAAAATCTTGAAAAACTTGTATTATAACTTATAAAAACTTACAAATCTTTTTTGAAGAGTCGATCCTATATATAACCAGTCCTAGCCCGGGCCTCTAAAGACCATAAAGCTTGTAACAAGATCCCGGACAGTCGAGCCATAAACGGTCCTGGGTGAGGCCTCTAAGTTAGGGGTTGTTTAAAATTTTCCATCAAGTCCTGTATGTGTTAAGTTGTCCGGTCCGAATACATTTGTCTGTCTGTAGGACGAGGAACTGATGGGTTTGAGGGAGGTAAAGAGAGAGAGTTGGATTAATTCTAGGGCATTTCTGGTATTTATTTGTTTGAGGTGGTTTAAAGGGGACAAGTGAGGGGTCTTGGCTTATTCCATATAGTCATTTTGGCATAATGGCTTAAGATTAAGCCATATAGAAATAAAACCTGTATGACTGAACGAATAAGCCGCCCAAACTATTAAGCTCACTAAGTTGCAAGTAAACATTAGTTAAACATGTTAGTTGATCATTGAAAAATCATGAATTAGACTATCATACATTAACAATAGCTTATTTGAGTTTCTTTGTACGGCATGGAAGAGCCTATATTCCAAAGGAATGAGGGGTTCGATTGCTTGGCAGGGACGGGGTAGGAGAATCGAGGATGGGAATGGTGAATCAGGCCCGTCTGTATATGATAAAAGTTGCTCTGAGAATCGAGGGATACCGTTGAACTAAAAGGGGGTCCATTATACTCTTTGTAGAAGAAAACAAATAAGTAGAACTAAACATGGTCCACCCCAGAATCATAATGTGAGTTTGATGGCTTAAGGGGACCAGACAAACCTCTGGCATTCACTATCATGGCCACTGCCTCCGTGTTCTTTTTCATTATGGCAATACCATCCACCACCCGTGTCAACTATACCTACTTCCCCCTTTCTCTTTAAATGCTTCCTTAACAAACAGTAAATTTAGTTTTATCATCAATTCATTAGAACCAAAGTCTTTCTAAAGTTTAAGTAAATAAAATAATCGGTAAAAAGTTTCAAGGGGTGTTTGGGATTGCTTATAAAAACAACTTATTAACTTATTCCAGTGTGACACTGGTAATAAGCACTTTTCAGTGTTTGGATAAACAGTTTATAACGGTGCCAAACCGATAATAAAGAGTTTTTGAAGAAGTTAAATCATTGTAACTTATAATAAGTTGATAAGGACTTTTATAGAAAAACATAAGTTGTTTCAGATAAGCAATCCCAAACACCCCACCCTCTGTATAGCAGAATATTTGACATCTAGGATAAACATGAATTATGACAAGATGGTGACAGCAATATCAGCATAGATCCTGAACTAGTTTGGGATAAAAGACTATGCATAATGAAGCCAGTTATCTGCATCAATGGATCTTGAACAGGAATCGATTATCAAGAAATGGGAATATAATCAACTCTATTTTACAGCCAACCTTTTTGTTGGAGGATCAGTGGACCTATCCCCTATAAATATGAAAAGAATGTGTCGATGGGTAACTCAATTTTCTCCCATGAACTATTTGGCAAAAGGGTCAACGGGTCAGGTTTTACGAATGAAGTTTTTTTATGTGATCCCTATCTACCAAAAAATTTAACAATTTTTCCTCTGAGATTATTAATTCCTAGGATCAATCAGGTAAAAGTTTAAGGACAAGGTGTCACATGTTGACTTCTTGGGTATGGGTACAATTTGAAACATAAAGGAGGCCATTTTAAAAAAGTAATCTTTAAAAGAAAAGATCATACATATGATACTACTATTGAAATGAGCTGGTGAGCATGGTTGCATACTTTTATCGGTTGCATACTTTTATACTTGACCTAATTTTCTACTGTTGAAAAATTACAGTCGCTAATTGCAGAGGCAATCGCACACAAATGGTACATATGTTTACCTAGCAAGCTCACTGTGCTGCAGCCCAGAAGGAAATTCTTGGTCAGAGGAGTAACTTTCTCGGGCTTCATTGAAATTTGAACTTTCAACAATATTAAGACCTGCCACAAAAAGTATAAGCACAACGATGAAGGTTTAACATATTCTAAACTAGGTTACCAAAAGCCTGTTCTCCAATAATACAACCTCTTTTTTCAATCTAATTAATGTACATAGAATGAGCTCTACAATACCAATAACAGATGTATGGATCTCATCCAAAGACAAGGCACTCAGAGTCCGAATAAAATGGGGTCCTTTGGTTAAATGACTTTATGACAGGTTTGAGAATGTCACTTCCATACACAAGAATGCCTAGAAACCTGTCAGAAGGTCATGAATTTAAAAAGCACTTGTAAGTCATTTAGATAAAGAACCCAGTAAATTTGTGTTGCCCACTGATGCATTATGTAAGGGACCAGTAAGGCATGAACCATCTGCAGACACCTGATGGTGAATCAACCTTAAACCTCATGGATGTTATGTGAAGTTGTTTCTTCAGTTACGCCCCAATATGCAGTATTACCAAAATAAGCAGTCATGCCCTTTAAATAGCCCTGCACATAGTTTTCTTCAATCTGCAATCATTGAACCAGTTATATTTAAAACGGCAAAGTAAAAATAACAACCAGTCAAAACCGCAGTTAGAAGATATAACCTCGACATTTAAAGGAGGAGAAGACAGCCAAGAGAGTTCTTCCACTTGACAAACATCCACATTTCGAGGCAAAAACATAATGATGTTAGGAGTTATTGTTTGAGCTACTTGAAACAATGTGTACCTGCATATAAAGTGCAATTTAGCATGCATGATGATGATTATTATTTGAAGCTCATGAGTCCAGCTACATAATTTGTATAGAAATTTGATTTATTTAGAAGAACAAAAATGGAAAACCTGAATACGACGCTATTAAAAATCCCCCTCCCAAAAAGAGTGTTATTGCTTAGGACTTTTAACATGTTCAAATAAATCGAGACAACTGCAAACAAAGTTTGACAGTGTGTCACAGTCATTAATAGCTGTCCAGATGCATCTAAGATACATCTTAAGTTGAAATAATTAGCCATTTGCCTGTAAACTTCATCATATTTCACTATACAAAAACCACTAAAGTTTCTAGTATAATTTTCAAACCCAACAATTCTGGGAAACCCTTTTCAGTTAAGATATTGGCCACTGTCCATTAAAGATGGCATGGATCAGTTTGAATGTATTATTCTTCTGAGTAAGGAGATGCAAAGTGAATAGGGGTTTAGTGTTTAGAGGCCATTTCTGATTGCATAGTCAACACTAAAACTTGCTTTTCAGCTAATGCAATAGTTAAAAGCTTAAACTTGTAAAAATCCATGAAATGTGGCAAAAGGCGAACAACATCCTGAGAGATTATGGTACAGATAATTGACATGCAAAAGTAGATGCCCTTTTGAAGCAAAACAATGTATCTATCTAAATTTTTTGAAGATGCAAGCTATAAACATGCAAAGTTTAGGCCTTGCAAGGTATAAATTAGAAACTATTAAGTAGTGAAATATGAAGAGTATCAATTTGACATGCAACAGAGAAAAAAAATATTTTATACCCCCAGGCATGAGAAGGAACATACATATATTTGCTATTAGCAACCACTCCATATTCCTACAGATACAACATACAAAATGAATCGGCGAGCAAATTAAGCTGAAGCACACTACACTAGACCTCAATGAATGCTCTGACATCATTAGACTAGTTGAAACTGTTTCTCTTAAGGTTCTAAGTAATGTGCAATTTATAAATATTCCTGCATGATTGTGACCCATAATTTGATGCACAGTATTCCTCTTTTGACTTGCTCAAAACTCTGCTTACTCATGTCTTTAATTTTACCTCACTTCTAAACAATAAAAAGAAAATAATGGCATACCCATCTACAGGCTTCAGTAGGTCAAGAGTGAAATTATCTGCCATCTTATATGATGGACCTCCCCATGGTGGTGAAAGAAATGCTACATTGCCCTGAACAGAAATATGAATCATGATTCAGTTTCAGAGAACATAACAAATTATAATAATCAAAATCTCACATTATTATCACAGCGGAAACATGTAAAAGGTAAGGCTCTACCTAGATATAATCCAAATGCAACTATTTATCTTCCCTAAAAGCTAATTCTTTTATGGAAAGATAAAGAGACACAAATACATTCATAAAAAATGTATACCACAACGGCACAACCACAAGGGTTGTGGTTTAGTGGTTTTGCCAGGATTAGTCTAGGCATAGCCTGGGACACCCTTCCAAAAAAATGCATGCCACTTTAAATGAAACAGGGGTGCTGGGGTGATGAAGTACAAAGGAAAGCTTTAACTGAAGTAAAAAAAAACATAACTACCTTGTATACTGGCATTTGAGGTGACCAAAATTGTTTCTGGCATGGGAACATGCAATCAAATATGGAATTCCAAATTTTCAAGAGCAAGCAACAGAATCTAAGTGACCAAATGGTTTGTGCACTAGTGTTGGGGAGAACAATTTCATCGTTGAGAGTTAATCAATCTAGTGGTGCTAAATACAGACAGCATCAGTCTCCTCTTCATGAATTACTAAGAATCAGTAAGAACCAAATCACCAATAATACCTTTAGGGATGGTGCTACTTGAAGAAAGTCTGCCACGATGAAATCAATATAATTGTCCACACCATAGATCTTTGCATTGTTTGATGCCATTTCAACCTTTTGAGGGTCAATATCTATGGCAACAACATGATAGCCCCTACAGAGTACAAACAAGCAAAAACGAGTATAAATGGTAAAACAAATTACTATCATTCTCTACATCATAATTCATAAGTTAAACAAGTCTTTGCCTTTGGACTCCATAAGCAAAAGGCTTATTGTTTTGGGACAAATATAGCACATGAAAATTTTAATATATTATAATATTACTATGGACAGTGGCGGATCAAGATTTTCAATTAGAATATGCACTACCATAACAAAAAAAATCAGGGCATGAAACTACAGTTATATTTTTACGCTAGAAAATGTGTTCTTGGGTATGCATGAGCATACCTAAGTGACACGACAGGCATGCCCATGGTTATGGTGGTTGTTAAATTGATGATAAACATGTGACCACATAACATCTAGTTTCCTTATGCTTATGTATATAAGTTTAAACCCATTAACACAGATTTCCTACCATTTCTTCTGAGGAGCATAGAATTCATCAACCAATAACCTCAAAGGGGATTCAAACACAAGGATGGAAATGGAATTGTCTATCATTGAGTTCAATATTCAAACCCATTTTTTTCCCTGTGGCCTAAGTTCAATATATAATTATGTTATTTGAAATACATCTGACAACATATCATGTGATCTCAAATAAGAGCTTTTGGACCATTGGCTCATTAAGGGTTCAAGATGCATCATCTGATCATCAGGAGATGAAGCTTCACTAACTTTTTCCTTGTTCGTGAAAAGATGAGTTTGGCTATTTATAAATAAACGTGATGCATCTATAAAAAATGTTAAAAGTTAAATGTTTCTTGTGCAACTTCACAGATACAAAATTTATGTGTTCTCTCAACAATTTATGTCTTATGATCGTCATCTACAAGTTTTAGCAAGTATAAGTATCAATGTTTGTTTTCTGAATGAGAGTGTGACAAATATTGCATGCTTCACATTCTGTCCAGCAAAGAACGTCATGGTCACACTCACTCTTCAAGAATGGAAATGCGTAAATGGATGTCACTCGCCATGGAGGCTATATTTCGGACCACATCCATTATTGTAGAAATCACACCAGTTGTATGGTTCTTTATATAATACACCAACATGGTACTTACAATGCAGCAAATTGAATGGAATTGCCACCCATACCAGCAAAGCAATCTACAACGACTCCACCGGCAACACACCGCTGGGCGTGACGGACTGCAATTTCCTCTGGCGTTACGGAGAACCATCCTTCTTCGTCCATTTTGATACCTTCATCGTACCTCGAAAACAAACTGTACCGTTGTCGCCAGTACTTCACAACCTTTGGACTAATAATAGCTTGTGATTCTTTACTAGCTTTCCATTTCCCCCTAATATTTACTGGTAACATAAATGCAAACAAATTACCCACACACTAACAAGAAAAGGCTGAAAATCAAACACAGTTTTGAGATGATTTTGAAATTGAAATGAACTCTTACCCTTCCGTTTGATAATTTTTCTTCGCTTCTTTGATCGACGACTTGCTCTTGTCATTTCGAAATCTATGGAGTTCAGGTTCAGCTATGTCGCAGAGTCAGAACTCGAGGAAGTTAGAATGTAGAAGAGGCCCATGGGAGCTTTTATATAATGGGCTTCAACTTTTAAAAAGGGCCTTAAATCTTGATTGGTTTAGCCCATTTCACCATATTTTCTAGATTTACCAAAAGAATCAAATACCTAGTGGTGTTTGGAATTGCTTATAAAAATAATTTATTGACTTATTATGGTGTGATATCGATAATAAGCATTTTTGAGTATTTAGATAAACAACTTATACCGGTACCAAACCGGTAATAAGAAGTTTTTGGAGAAATTAAACTCTTCTGATTTATAATAAGTTAATAAGTACTTTTAATTATGACGTTTTGAAACCAAAGTGTTCAATTTTTTTGTATATCGTTACTCTCGAGGGGGATACAAGGAGGGATAGTCCAAGAAAGACATGGAATGAGCAGTTGAGGTTAGTTAGGCGTAACCGTTTTAGACCTTTCTGATGTCATATGAAATCAGATAAAAGTTAACTGTGATAATTTTAAATATTATCAAATTAATGCCATAATAGTTATTGAAGACGCATGATTAAAGTGGCAGACTAGGAACAGGGTTTTGTGACTAACATATACACGATCTATTATATATATAAAAAAATTTATAAAAAATTTATAAAAATAAATTTTCGCAAGTCGGAAGTCAAACAACTCTACTTTGTACTGTCAAATCTACATACATTCCTTTTGCATCCTTCCTCCAGATGAAATATATTGGACTCGTTTGGTTTGTACTTAAAATCTGTTACAGCTTTTGTTGATCCATCCATATAAAACATGTTTTTAATCAAAAAATCTCAACAAACCATCACTTCTAATGTATTTGTGATATATACTTATAATTCAATAATTTATAGTATCTTATAAACCAGATTTATCAAAAGTCTTAAAAACAATTTTTAATGCACAAAGTGCTATACATTTATGCACAAACTCTTAAAAACAACTCATAATGCATTAAATACTACTACTTTATGCATTCAATCTTAAAATCTCTTAATCTACATTTAAAATAACATATAGTCCAAGTTACCAATGCACATTATTACATTTTCTTTTCATGTTCTCAAGATACTTTTGATATCTTTCACTCATTTCTTCACCTTCTCATACCTCTATGTTTTCTCCCACCATCCCCAAGGTGAGATTCAAACCGATATTCACTACGAGTTATTAAAAGTTCTTTCATTCATCTCTAATTCAATTGCTCTAGAACTCTCGATTTCTTGATTCTTTGTTCTTGGTGTAAATCGAACACATTTGTGAAGTCGTTTAAATATGTTGGATTTTAAACTGTTATACAATTTTTTTTCATCGATAGACTGTAATTGAAACCATAACTGTTATTTAATCAAACTGTATTAATATATAAAGACCAAGTGTAACTTATATCATCGTTAAATCTTCTCTAATAAAACCAGTTAAAATTCACTGCGCATTGCGCGAATACATAACTAGTATTATATTAATAAAAATTTAAGAGTTTTTAAAAACTTCCCTAAACATCTTATAAGATTAGTATAGATAAAGTTGCAAACACAAATGATCTTATTGACACATTCAAACATGACTCATTTTATTACTTATTACACTATGTATTCAATCACCCCCTTGGTCTTCCTTCTTCTTCAGCTAAGATAAATGGTTCTCAACCTTTTTGAGGCTTCCAATATGTTTTCTCTCTGCCCAAAAGCAGTAACCCTTATATACCCTTCGCCCCCCGGTCCAAACCCGCTTCCTGGAACCGTGATTATATGGGCTTTCTTCAAAATCTCCGAGAATATATCCCATGATCTTGATCCTGGAAAATGCACCCAAACGTATGGTGCGTTTACACCGCCATATACGACTAGACCTAGTGAACTAAACGTTTCCACCAAGATCTTTGCATTTTCCATGTAGTACTCCACCACCGACATCACTGCCTGAATCCGGTTTCAGAATGACAAAAAATAACAGTTAGAAAAACGCGAAAATGTTTCTTTATCTCTAATTGTGTTGGAAATATAAGCAGACCTTGAAGCCATCTGGGGAGAGACATGCGAGCCCACCGGCTTGGGCAATGCTTGAAGCACCATTGAAGCAGGTGCACACGATGCGGTCAAAGTCATTTATCACGGGAACCTTATTTGCGTAATATAGTTCGTCAGGGACCACGGTCCAGCCTAAACGAACGCCAGTGAACCCAGCAATCTTGGAGAAGGATGAAATTTCAATAGCACACTGCACATGGTACAAAGGTTAATTGGAAAACAAAAGGAAAAAAACTCATAAACTAGCAGATAAAGCTATTGACTGATAAGCTAGCCAAGTAGCCATTGGTTAGTAAGTTAGTTGTTAGCTGACAAGCTACTTTATAAACCAATCATGTTTGGAAAACAATCCGCACTCTTTGGCTATGTTTGGCAAACTAGCTGATAAACCAACTGCCGGTGCTAAAGCTAGTTATGTTGGACGAGAAGCTACCTGCTAGCTCACAAACTAGTCATGTTTGGTAAAAACAAGCTGATAAGCTTAGATATCAATGTAAAATGACCTAAAAGAGCATGTTGAAGAATTAGTTGAAAAAATATAAGGAGCATAATTGGAAATTTGTGAAAAAAAATCCCCTGAAGCTTATGATTAATCAAACAGGGTTTTTTCAATAAGCTCAACAAATAAGCTAGCTTATGGTTGCCAAGCATGGCCTTTGTCAAGAGGAAAAATGAAAGAAAAAATTAGGTTGACTTTTTGAGGTCAAATGGAAAAAATTTCAACTTGAATCTTTGTAGAAACTCTTGAAATTCTAAAGAGAATTCGATAACTACAGAAAATTTCATATCCAGAACTACGAGAAGAAAGATGTCGGGTGTTAATTCCGCAAAAACATCCATACTAATTTCGAATCAGAAAAAAAACCATGTTTGACTGCCAAAGTCAAAGCCTTGAAGGAAGGATGTTTACCTCTCTTGCACCAGGAATTTCATAGATGGATCTGGGACTTCCATCCGTTATATAAACAGAATATGCAGAATCATACACAATAATCGATCCATTCTTTCTAGCAAACTCCACGAGCTGCGTCAACTGTTCTCGGGAGGCTGCATGACCAGTAGGATTATTCGGAGAGCAAAAGAAGATGATGTCAGTTCTTGATGTGGTTGACAACTCGGGAAAGAAGTTATTGTGCGGCCCACATGTCATATACTCGATGTTTTGGTATTTTAATGTTTCGTCTAAGAAGTCTCCTGCCTGCCCGATTATAACGCTTGAATCCATATACGCCTGCTAAGTTCAAAACATAAAACTTTTAAGGGTAACAATGACCATGCACATCTGATTTAAGTGTTTGACCATTGATCAAATGTCTGATACCCTTTGACAAAATTAAGAAAATGTTGCCAATTAAAAGCAAATCATTTATAATTTACAATCAAACAGTCCATTTATTTACACAAACCATACCGGGAAATTAGGATCCTGCACAGCAACTGAAACACTCGATCCCAGAAGCAGCTGCGTTCAGATATTCAAGAAAAAAGTGCATCAATTTATTATCTTTTCAATTATAAATGTTTTAAAACAATTAATTTTCCAAGAAATAAAGAAAAAAACCAACCTGAAGGCGAGATATATCACACTGTGACCCATCTGATACAAAAACTTCTGCATCTTTTACACCTAAACCTTTGTAAAATGACTCTGCAATTGCTTTCCTTAAAGCCTGTAAATTTAATGTGTTGTTAAACGTTGATCCAAAGGTAAAAGGAGTGGATCCTTTTACAAATCATGTCTTGGTTGTACAAAGAAATTACAGCATCCATGATGGTGGACTTTTTCATCGGAGTTTTTTATTCTAATTTTTTCCAAAAAACTGGGACCCACAACCAAAAAAAAAAGCTTGGTGAAAACTTGTAACTGCGCAAGCAAAAAAGCAGGTTTTTCTTGTTGGTCACTTTTTTACACGTCCAAATAGCCAAAAAGCTCTCCAAAAAAACTCCATTGGAGGTGCTCTTTGGAGCATCAGCGATAGTGGAATTTTCCTCCCAACAAAAAAAATGGGACCCACAAGCGAAAAACCAGCTTGTAACAAGCAAAAAAGGTGAATTTTTTGGTGAAGAGCTTTTTTCACAATCTTAGGTGACCAAAAAGCTCCATTATGGATGCTCTTACTTTTGCTGAGACAATCACCGTACCTTGTTCCCTTGCTCAGCACCGTAACCTTTGTATCCTTTGCGTGTTGAAAGAGCCAGTGCATACTTCAGTATACAAATCACTAAAATATTAGTCAAATGACATAAACCTTCTACAGTTAAAAAGATAAAGGGAATATTGTCGAAGAGGAATGCCTTTAACAAAAAAGAAAGATGAGGGAATATTGTGGACCCAAACGTTAGGATCAACAATACCATACACAAGCTGACAGCAAAATGCAGGAAACGAAACAAATACACAGCATTTTTTTAATTTGTTGCTAGGATTTTCTTATTTATCTCGTGAATTTTCAGCAGTACCTCAAAACAAAATGTATGGCTCTTTTATAACAAGAGTCTGAACAGGCGCCACATCCAACTCACCAAATCCATATCACCGACTTTTGGTAATGATAACAATGGACAAATAAGTAATTTCAACTAAAAAATTTACCAAAAAGCAAAAGTTGCAATTTCATGAGACATCTGAAACGGAAATTGTTTGTAGTTCCTATCTAATGGATGAACTATACGTTTGTTTTTGTTGAATGAGTACATATAATAATATAAATCCACTGAAAATTTGTAGAGTTTTTCATCAATTAGGGGACTTGAAGCGAAGTAAGATCAGAAGATGGTTGATTTTTAATCCCTCGAGCTTTTCTAAGAAACTCGCTATACTATGGTTTGAAGTTGAACTCAAGAAAAATAGCTTTAGGACCTGATTCATATTCCCACTCAAAAATATCAACAGAAAATAAAAGAACAGGGGTGAAAAAAGAAAGAAGCATAAGTGAATCACGTTACCTCAGCCATGTTTGAAGTTATGATATCGGGAATTGGCTCAGTGGTATCACCAATCCCGAGCCTTATGATGTTTGCATCAGGGTACTTCTTCATATGTTCAAGCTCCCTTGCTTCTATCTATAATTGCAATAACTTGGAGCCTTAGTTGAAATATAGTATGTCAATATCTATGTACATATATATGTATATGTGTGTGTGTGTTATGCTACGCGTAACTGAAGTTGAAATGCTGCAAATTAAGTATAAGCTCAAGTAACCTCAGGAAACAAATAGTTGTGGCGCAACTTCTCCAAGTTCACATTACGGACAACTTTAGTGCAACGAACAGTGGCTGCACACGATTGTAACATTGCCACAAGTCAAAAAACCATTGGGGGAGGGTAGAGTTAAAAATGAACACGGGTTGTATACCCAAACCAAAAGAGCCCAATATATTCCACTTAGAGATGGGGTATGGGAGGGTGAGATGGACGCAAACCTGACCACTACCTCAAAGAGTAGAGCGGTTGTTTATGTGAAGGCCCCTAACTTACAAAAAGTGTGCAAAAAGAAAGGTAGCCCGAAAATGAAACACGGGTTGTATCATGTATGCATACCTAGTCTCTCATTTGGTGTTGCCAAACTGCACACCGATAAGCAAAACACAATGTCAGGAAATTTTGAGAATGTCATATGAAAATATAGAAAAGCTTCACCTTTACCTGGCTCTAGATTGCAACAAGATTGTGTGAGGAATGAAATTGCAAGTCGAAAACATAGACATGATGCTATCAAGAATTTTAGCTCTAAGAACACTCTTTAAGTTTTTGTGTTATGTGTTGATGGTGAGGTGAGTGGTGCAACTCAACAAGATTTGATGTCTTTATATACACATTAATGGTGTGGGCTTGTAGTACAATAGAATAATGATGTAATATGTCAAGAGGGTGATACGTGGAATTTTATAATAAAATAGTCAATCTTGGTTGCAAACATACGTTCAAGTTCAACTAACAGTTTCACACAACGGTTGGACAAATTGTTATCATATCTTCATCAAATTTTTCCATGCTTCCTTGATGTCACCATCTGACCTTTTGATTTTTCCAAATCGTGATTCAATGAATGCATGCAAATTCGTTCTACTAAAAAATACCACCTTCCTGCTCAAATATTCTCCCACCAAAAAAGGAAGGGACTTCGCAAATCAGTAAATCAAGAACTTCAACTTCAACTCTGTTTGCTTACACCACTTACTAACATCCTCTATTTCACAATCACATCAATTAAAGGGGGCCAGAATATCACATCTTAATTTCTCTCACACGATACACGACAAAATGGAAATTTAAGTTGGTGTCGATGAGTAGCACCTATATCTCTCACGGAAGTTCATCATCCAAACAGACAAAACTTTAAGAAAAGACGCATAATCTTCATGTTGGAAAGTCGAGGGAAGTTTCCTCCATCCACGGCAAGTGCCATTACATACAAGCAGTAATCTAGAGGCATGCTGAATGCCACAGGATGAAGGAATTCATGTTGAAAAGTCAAGGGCAATTTCATCCATTCGGAGCCAATCTTATGACATACTAAGCAGTAACCTAGCAGCATACTGAATTCCACAGGATGAAGAAAATTCTTTGTGTTGGAAAGTCATAAGCAATTTCCTACATTCCAGGCATATCTTATTACATATTAAGCAGTGCACCAGCCACAGTTTGCCAAGACTGAGATCTGGCTGCATACATATTCTATAGGATCGAAGATCATCTCTTTGTTGAAAAGTCAAGGTTTTTTAACCATTAAAGGCAAGTGCTTTTTCTTGCAACTTGCTTAATTTTCTCATATTAAACCCACATTAGAGGTGCTAAATTTCAAGAAAACTTCTGCATAATCTCACCTGATTTCCATTGTAATTTCTGGAATTATATTGCCATGAAAGAGTGTAAATTTTTTAAGTTTCTCCAAGATCATATTCATATCTATATATTTACATTGACTCAAATTACTTCCATATCCATGGGTCAAAACAGATAATTTAAAACCATAATGTAAAGTTATGAACCCAAAAGGCAAAACAAGTAAAATCAAAGTGTTACACACCATGCCCATTTACAATATTATTAACGAACAAAATAAGATGGCTCAGTAGTGGTTTGACAAACTTTGAGACCTACAAATCAATCACATTTTAATTATTGGGACACTTTCTAAATGAAACCACAAAAGGAAAATGTTAAATGGCAAAAACAAATAGGACTTGAGGGCTATAGGGGACAAGGAAGACAACATGCCAGTATTAATAAAAGCTTGACCAATCAAACTTTTAAGTCAACTAAAAAGTCCCTTTGACGTTTAGCGGGAATAGTCAAACCCATCAAATGTTGATCTGTTCATGTACTGAAAACTAGAATTTATAGAAAAGTAATTACATTGTGAGTATTCAAAGATGTCAATCAAGAAAACTCTCTATGGGGTTTTGTTTTTGTGTGTTGATTGTGAGATTAGTAGTAGAATAACACGATTTAATGCCTACGAATGCTCTGTCCTTTGGGGTAGAGGACAGGTTTGTATACATCCCATTCTCCATACCCTACTTCTGTATAGGACATACCGGGTGTGTTTGAATTGGTTTAATGCCTATGAATATTAAAAAAAAAAACGTATTCGATCATAACAAACCAAAAATCAATCCACACAAACAATTCATAGTGTAAATACACAGATAAAATAGTCGATTTTGGTTGAAAACAGTTATGGCAACTCGGTTAGAACTTTTTCTTGTTCAACCCACAATGCACGTAGTAAATTTCTAGAACATTTTGGTATAACTAATCTGATATTGCAATATAATTTCAGAATGTTTCCATGAAGAAGCAGTGAAAATCATGTGAAATTTCTCCAATTTGATATCCATAAAATTTTCTTAAATAAGCGCTTAATATAGTAAACCAAAGAAACAGAATAAAGCACTATGAAATGTGATCAAACAATATTACTACTAAATACTCCAAATTTCTGCAAAAATATTACTATAAAAAGGTAAAAAGATGGCATGCAAATTGTCCCAAAATTGAAATCAAACAAGAATTGAGAAAATCCACATTAACTTAGGCATGAACACAATCTAAACTAGATCTTAGCACATGTAAAATCTAAAACTGATTATGTATTCAATGTTCAAGATTGCAAAGATGGTCGACATGGAAAAAAAACAACTAAAGTGAAGTTAATGTAAAAGTCTATTCGATAAATTAAACAAAGAAATCATAGTCTATGAGATTAAATTATAATCTCATATACCCAGTACGGAAAACTATATAAAAATGGATCAAGAAACTGATCTTGATAAATGTCAACAAAGAACACATCAATTGAGTTTCATGGAAAGTGTCTTCTTTAATTAATGCCACAAATAAGTCCAATACATGGTCTTATTGATAATTAAACCTACTAAATCAGGAACATACCCAGATCATTCAAGCAAATTCAACTCTACATTCACGTACAAGAGCCAATTTATATTCTCATACAAGAGTGAAACTAGACACATAACTAAAATAAACACCATATATATACATATATATATATATATATATATATATATATATATATATATATATGGGTGTCAATGGTCGTTGGTGAAATGTCACGACTTGGTGTGCAGAACAAGAAAAAAAATAAGATGTTATTTTAGTACTTTTGGATAGAATAGAGGATTAGAATACAAAAAGACAATCTATTTTGTGGGTTTAATTGAGTCAATCATCAGAAACTAACAATTCGAAACCCTAACAACCCCATTACAAAATATTCATCATTATTTTGAAATAATGTCGGTGAGAGTAGTAATTAATTCAGAATATGGAAATTGAGGGAGTTCTTCAGTCAAAGCATACCCTACGATCAGATAACAATTGTGGGTCGATTTTCTACGGAAAGAAAACCAACAAAAAGTGCAATTCCAAAATTCTGGTTGCTAGTAGAAGAAGACCCACCAACAGAAAGTGATGGCGACGCATCAATTTTAAAGAATTTCTGCATTTGCCTTCCTTGAAGCTTGTCGATTATGAGTTTCCTCTCTTTTTCCTTTTTCATTTTACCTCCTCCATCCATCCCCAAAATCAGCCAACCGGGACCACCTTACGAACCGCAAATTTGCCTCGTTTTGTCATGTTTATGAGGAAATCAATGTGATCAAAGCTATTCATTCATAACCAAAACGATGGGAGGCGTATCGGGTAATGAAGTGGGGACGGGTATCTTCTTCATCAGATTCTTTTTTTCTTTTTCCTCTGAACAAAGGAAAGGAAAGGAAAAAAAAATTACAATAAAAATTAATAGACTTCTTGTTTGGAATGATTAAGTCTTTGAACTTTTTTTTTAGAATAAATAAGTCCTTGAATATTCCAAAACATATTAAATAAGTTCTTGGACAATTTTTTGAAACAAATAAATCCTTGGACATTTCAAAAAATGTTAAATAACTCCTTGGACAATTTTTGGAACAAATAAGTCATTGGACATTCCAAAAAATGTTAAATAACTCCTTGGACAATTTTTGGAACAAATAAGTCCTTGAACAATCCAAAACATGTTAAATAACTTCTTGAACTTTTATAAAACATGTTGGATACATTCTTATGACTTGTATAACTAGTTATGACTAGTTATAAAACATGTTGGATACATTCTTATGACTTGTACAACTAGTTAAAGTGGTAAAATAGTGGAAAAAAAATCCAGAAAAACCCCAATGAACATTCATCTTTTGAACGATAAAGTGGTAAAATAGTGAAAAAAAATCCGGAAAAAACCCAATGAACATTCATATTTTGAACGATAAAGTGGTAAAATAGTGAAAAAAATCCGGAAAAAACCCCAATGAACATTCATATTTTGAACGATAAAGTGGTAAAATAGTGAAAAAAATCCGAAAATATATTTTGTCAGTAATTTTTTAAACTAAAAAAA